TGTATATTAATAGCTTTTTATTTTATACTTTAACTTATAGCTTAATATTTAATTTTGTACTCTACTTCAAAGATGTAAAATAAAGTAAAGTTAACAAACGCTGTAGTAGTTAGTACTAGAGCTTAGTATAATACCTTTAAAGTAGTAATTATCTATAGAAGTAAAGTTTAAGTAGCTATTCTTATATTTTACTTAGATTAGAGTAGCGTATTATATAAAAGTAGAGATTGTCTTTAGATAGTAATAGTTTATAGCTTTACTATATAGCTAATAAGTTATAATAGATGTAATTATTTAGACAGCGTTAGAGGAGAGGAAAAAGTATCTAGCTACACTGTATCTTAACTCTACTAAGTAAGCATCAAAATTAGCCTATTTACAGTAACTTCAAGGTTTTTCCTAATGCGACAATAGCACACGCACTATAATTGCTCAGTCCTAACATGAGTGGTCCCGATCACTTCCCTACTTGTTGGGGTAACAGTGTAGGTCGACGTCCCCCTTCGATTTATCCTTCGGCGTTGTGTTTGTAAGCTCGCTCTCGTAGTTGGCCGAAACGCGACAAAACCGCGAACAGATTTGTCACGACATGGCCAGCCTAGCAAGGAGAAGCAGCATTGCAAATCTGATATGTAGTCAGTGTCGACACCATGCCAGATAAAAGAAATCAGGCGGATAAGCACAGTATCTGTCAACGTTGATCATACTCGTACCTACTTTGACAATCTGCAGCTGTGCAGAATCGCTTCACGATAGCCTACTGTGTCATCATCGGATACCGAAACCGTCCTGGTAGTTGGAAGTACAGGCAACATCGGCGTAGCAGCCGTGAAAGGCGCTCTCAACTCAAAATGCAACGTTCTAGCTATCGTCCGAAACCAAGTTTCCGCCGACAAGCTGATCAGACATGTCGGATTCTGCAAAGGTGATTCCCTGCGATGATCCGACATCTCGTCCGACACGGATGTTCAAATGGGCTTCGAAAAGGTGCGAGAAGGGTAACTACCAGCCTTCCAGCACGTATACTCTTGCGGTCAGTCCCGATCGACTCGTTTCCATCCTCACATGTCTGCTAATCAATCCCTATCCCCCTTCAGTCGGCGGCGAATACGTTTCCACTCCCCTTACGGAAATCACAACGGAACAACTACATTACAACTTCAACATTGCCTTTGAGGCGAATTTCTGTAAGCCGCAGTCCTTCCAATGACAAGAGGAGGGGTGAACCTCTGCTTAGCAATTATTCTCAGTCGCCTACCGCGCCACCATTCCCTATCTCCTCGCTCAGAAGCATAATACTAGCACGTGGACGCTCTGCACTGGCGCGCAGGGCGAAACCGCTTTCTTTCCTGTACCAGGCATGACGCAAGGCGCCCTGTTTACCATGGGCACGGCCGCAGCCCGCGAAAACGAGAAGACGAATGTACGGTTCAACGAAGGGTATCTTTGCTTTCGGGTCGAGGTAGATGAGCAGGCGGAGAACCATGGGGTTTCGAGCGCATCGGAGTTTGCAAAGGTGTACGAGAATCTTTTGGGCGATGAGGGGGTGATGGGGGCGAGGGTTACGGTGCGGGAGGTGGGTGATATTGGAAGGTTAGTGTGGCAGTGGAAGTTTTGAGCGGAATGGAAAGAGGAGTTGGGGTTGCAGGTTGATGGATATGGGCAGAGTGTAGGGGATCTGCTAGCATGGGCCTGGGCGGGAAGTCCACGTAGGGAATATAGATTGACTATAATTTGGTTCCTCTTACATCAAATACGACATGTGACATGGAGAGTGAAATTCTGTTCACCGGCACTGATGTCTAGAAGAAGGTCAGACAACAGGCATATCTACCACTACTCTCCAGGCGTAGAGTTCAAATGCAGAGGCAATACTACTCATGCCTGGTATTGCTCAACTGATTGCTAGATAAACTGGTGAATCATCGTATTCTGTCAGTCTAACCTTTCTGTCCACTTCCGTAATGATAGTGCTCCCAAGTCACAAGTTTGCTACTATAGTCATACCCGCATTGAGTTTCCCAAGGTAGTGTTACTTCTCTGTTGTACGCTCAAAACCCGCGGTACGAGCTTCTACAAGGTTCAGCGAACCTATAAGCAAAAGGAACGCATTAGTGCTCTCAGTAGAACCAATCATCATGGCGAAGAACGCATTGATCCCACATGGGCAACTTGTACCTGGGATACATGGAAAGCGGACGTGGCTTCGTCGTTGCCGTCGTACATTGGACAAGGCTCGTTAGGGCCTAGCGTGAGCTTGCACAGCCTTGGTGAATACGAAGAGCAGCCTGATACCCCACTCCTTTCAAAGCTCGTCAGCTACTAACACTAAACCTCTTCTACTTCATGTTTGCTACCCCTACATCTTGAAGGCAAACTGTTCCTCGACTTCTATCCATCTCGGGTGCTGCACAAAAGTTCTCCTGATCAGACCACGACATATATACACAGTCAGAGTTCATAGTTTGATACTGCGAAATGGCTCTCAACAAGGAGAACAGATTTGTAGCTGACTCTTTCCCCTTTCTCTCCACATGTTTGAACTGCGAGGGAATCCCTGCCGGATCACCCCGTCCGTTGGACAGTTTGCAACAAGGCCTTGACCAAGGATGCGGTCTCTGTACGGTCATCCTCCAGGGCATTTCGACTTTCGAGGCCGGCTTGAGCCGCGGCGAACTGGAACAGTTCGCAAAAATCAAGTACGTCACCTGTTGGACTCTCAAGTATGGTCCATGCCGGATCGGGCTGACGACTTCACCTACTGGGCACGAGCGGCAAGGATCCGGCTCTGAGGACGACGACTTCGAAGCGTATTCCCCTACTTTTGAACTTCTCGTTTCGCTTATCGAGGAGAGACCAGACCTGTCGAGGGGCTTGCGAACAGCTGACTCCCTAAGAGTGCCCGCGCAGCTCCAGCTATCGAAAGCTGTTCTACTGGCGAGCAAGTGGATCGCCGAGTGCGATGACTCGCATCAATGCCGGAATGCAGATCAATCAGCACTTCCCACTCGGGTCCTCGACTTGTGCCCCAAAGTCGATGGTCACATCGAGCTGGTCGAATCTCGAGGAGCGAGCGCGCAGTACGCGGCTCTGAGTTACTGCTGGGGCTACAGTGGCACGAATTTCAAGACCTTGACCACGAACCTTGCTCAACACCATCAAGGCATTCCCTTTGCTCAATTTCCCAAATGCTTTCAAGACACCATTCAGCTCTGCCAAGCTCTCAGCCTTCGATACCTCTGGATCGACGCGTTGTGCATCATACAAGACTCGCCAGGAGACTGGGAGATTGAACTGGCCAGGATGGCAGCCGTGTACTCAAACGCTTTTCTTACCATCTCCGCCGCTGCTTGCTCGGATCCCAGCATGAGTCTCTTCGCCGACAGGCAAGTGTATACCGTACACGAGACGGCAGAATTCTCCCCTCACTCGTACCGCACCATACCGTACGTCGTCTACGTCGAGTACAAGGAGAAGGAAACGGACATGTACAGCGATATCGATCCTAGCGTCGACACACCCAAAACCCACCTTTTCGAGTTCCGCCACGACACCGGAACAGCACACTGGAGAATCATGGAGCCTGGCATCAGCGGGCTCAACGAATCCCGCTTCGCCCAGTGTCCGGATTCCCCGCTTTTCACCCGCGGCTGGGTCTATCAGGAACGCCTCCTTTCGGCCAGGATACTCCATTTCCACGCCGAGGAAGTGCTTTGGGAATGCCGGACTGGAGTGCGATGCGAGTGTGGGAGCCTCGACGATGACGATGCCGCAGCCACGGACCGTACACGAGACATCTGGCGCCTCCGGAACAAAGCTTCGTTGACTCGAGCGCTGTCGCCAGGGGCAAACCCCCAGCTCCTCTTCCAAGCGTGGGCAGACATTGTGATGCGCTTCAGCCAACTCGACCTCTCCTATGACACTGATCGCCTGCCTGCTCTCTCGGGCATCGCCTCACGATTCGCTGAGCATCCCGTTGGCCAGTACTTCGCCGGTATGTGGTCGGAAATGTTCCCCACGTCGTTGATGTACGATGCTGCACCGCCGCCGGGACGCCGAGACTACCAGTTTGATACATCATGTAGATCCCGAGCGCCCTCTTGGTCGTGGGCATCACTTCCTCTCTCCGGCCGCAACCATGTCAACTACAGCTTCGCACTTCCCCAGTTCTTCGAGAAACCGTGCCCGGACTTTACCCTAATCTTTGTTGCCAAACACTTCGTTGGCAAGAACCAGTACGGATGGGTGCAGAATGCGGAACTGAGAGTATGCGCCAGATGCGTGGATTGCTTTGTCGTCAAGCACAAACAGTTCATGAGCGGCTGCTCCTACACGGCCGATCTCTGTCTGAACAGGAAGCCGCCGAATACACTGCAGCGAGATAGGATCGTTTCGGACTCGAGATTCCTGCAGCTTGACGAATGGCAGACTGCTGTCCACAACGAAGAAGCGCTCTTCCTTCACCTTGGAAGCGAACATGGTATCGGGCTTCGGTTCGTATACAGGAAGGACGATGGACAGATGGTCTACCGACGGATTGGACTTGCGCTGAATGAGGCCAATGGAGGAACTTGGGCACCTCATTCGACTATTCGGGAGATTACTATTATCTGAGGTTAAACGTGTGCAGTCGCCGGCAAGCAGCTCTGTATACTGTTCGGCCTCGTGTTGCTCAATCGTCGAGGCATCATCCGGCTTATCCACAATTGAATATATCTTTTCTCAATCGTGCTCTAATTTACCTCTGATGACAAAAGCGCGAGGCATTCGCACTACCATCAGGCTCCTCTTCAGCCATCTCCTCACCATAGTCGAGCATCAAGCCAAGCTACCGTACGGCCCGGAGGGAGTTTTTGGTCACGTAGATGTCGCTATATGAAAGTTAAAAAGCGCGCAAGCACTACGTTAGCTTATTAAAACCTCACAGACACTCTGTGAGCATCACTACAACACTATGTTAGTGTAGTAAAGTCATATCTACGTGATCAAAACCCCCCTCCGCGCGCTATAGTAGGCATCACGTTTCCATGTGCCGACGGCTAAGGATAACGGAGGATCTAACAACACAGATCCATTCAAACAGAGAACCGATCAGAACTGACAGGACATGGGAAAGAGAGTTGGAAAGAGACAGAAGAAGAAAACATAAAAAAAATGATAAAATGACATAAAGCACCAGGCACATACAGCATGACTACACACATACTAGCAAGGGTAGATACCACCCTAACACACACGATACAGCAGAGATAGAGGCAAACGTCGTCACGCAGAGCCACAGCAAAGCCAGCCAAGATTTCTTGATGCGCAGAAACAAAGCGTCTTGCCGAGATTGTAGACCACAAGCACTACCAAGTCCCACTGCCTACCCATGATCCAGAGGCTCGGCCGACCAGCCAGGACGAGTAGGCTAAGTCCACGCCAGATACGCATGGAACACACCAATATACCAAAGGGCGAATGGATGGATAGACGGATGGACAGACGAGAGAATGGTCAACAGGCGCCCACGAACCCTGTCTCCCTCCACTTCACACCCTTCACCCTATCGCTACAAAAGGCCGCAAGCTGTCACTCCGTCGCTGGTGATTCATCCTCTCCCACACGCACGCTGGGTGCAAAGAACAAGACAACGAGCAAGCAGGAAGAAGATGACTCGTGCAAACTGACCCATGACGCATCCGTCCTGCGCAAGCCTGCAATATCAATTTGGGCCAAGGAGTCATCCTATGCTGGTCAAGGCATCAGGTACCACCCGAAAGTAATCTCTAAGTCTATTTAGGTTTAGATATACTTAGGTACTATACCATAAGCTTTATTCAGCTAAGATACATTTATAATCTTAGTAATATCATTTACTCACTACACTAAGTTACTTCCTGTACTAAGTTCTACAAGTCCACTCAGCAATCATTTCTTTATAGGGCACATCTTTATTATAATTCTACCTTAGCTATGTTACGCACTGGAACACTTTAGGCCCTGGAATATCGTACGGTAGTTGGTTGTAGATGCTGTATACAAGTCCAGCATCTCTACTATCATATGCGCCTGGGAAGCTCACCAAGCCCGCCATCGGCACTGTCGAACCATCGCCAGTTACCTCTAGCTGGTGGCATCCTGGATAGAACTGGGCTCCCCCCTCGTTATACGCGCTGTGTAGCGCAATAATTTCGTGACGCACAAGGTAAAAGCCTGGCCTCAGACATGCTGGAATCGTGTAGTTCACGCCGGCATTTGGTGCGTTGATGAGCGATGTCATACCCCATTGGTTCTTAAGCCAATCTGGGTCGGTGGAATGCAATCCATCCTCGGCGATCTTGAACCAAGTTGGGGCCAAAGAAGAGGAGGGGATGTAGTCGTTGCAGCCTCAGACTATCGTAAGTATAGGTCACGCTTTTGATAGTCGATTGACAAGACATGCTCACCAGTGTCAGGACATCTCGCCATGTACGTTATCACTGGACCCTGATGACTCTCTGGCCACGCTGTCCAACGCAAATTAACAGTCGACCCAGCTGCCGCCTGAGCGTGCAAAGGAGCGGGGCGGGACCCGATGATTCCGCCAGTTGTATTGCCACCACATTCAAGGTCCACGAGCTTCACGTTATCAATAGGGAAGTTGCCTTGAATTTCGCGAGAGATGCGGGGTGGCTGTTCATTATTAGTATGTTGTTTACTCAGCTTCCAAGACAGACCGACAGCAGGGTTCATGTAGGGATCCTGATAAGGCTTTTGATCTCGGTCAGCAACTGTGATGTCTTCTCTAGGATGGCGTATTGATTACGTGATAGAACTGGAGTTGACGTTAGTGACAACAGCTCCGCTTTGTGTCGTATCTATCTACATACATCATACTCCTTCCCTCCGATTGTTGCATTCTGGACAAAGCCATGGCTAACCACAAGAGGTGGGATGGAAAAGAAAAACAAGTACTGCCTCATGATGCAAGATCTCGTTGAACGACAATGCGAGTGCTCTCATACTTCCTGCCGTACTTATGCGCAGGTCCCAATGGTGCATGGACCCAGTCGGCCGAGTTTTGCATTCGTAGGCTGTGCTTTACGATTGGTGGCGTAATATGCACGGAAACTTTAACGCAGTCGTGCTTCCAGCAGATAGTGCCACTGTTTAATCATAGTGCTTTTCAAATTGATTCCTGAGAGTTTAGCCGTCCGGTGCATAGCCAGTCTAACGCCGTAAGTCAAGATCAGCCATCGTGGCGATCGTCAAGCTGTAGCCACTACCATCATCAACACAGTTATCAACACAGTTCATCTATGTAGGAAGGTCGACTGGCAAGAAAAGGTCTGCATGTCTACAAACGGACGATCATATCGCTAATCCGGGAACTATGCGATAGGCTGGGCCGACTACTATCCGAACGGCATTAGCAACCGTGATCAAAACGTTCAAGACTCGCTTCAACGCACCCAGATTGTATCTGACCTGCAAAGCAGCAGTCTTTTCCTTGCGCTGTTCAAGCCTAGACGTAGTTTTATCCGCCTAGTAAGCTTCTCTTGTTTTTGAGATTTCGTCCGCTATCTTCTCCGCAAACATGTATACTGAAGCCTGCGGATGCCCAGGCAAACTGAAAGGGAATACTGAGATATCAACTACTCTCAACCCTTGTACACCAAAAACGTTTGCCCGCGAGTCCACCACAGCTCCTCTCCCTGGTGTCTTACCCATCGAGCATGTAGAGCTTGCATGCCATATTGGTTGAGCGTTTTGCTTGATGAAGTTCAAGATGTCTGCAGTCGTATTGATGTTGGGGCCAGGCTCGATTTCTGGACCGGCGATTACCCCAACAAGTGCAGGACTGTCCCAAACTTCTCTCACTCGCTTGAATGCAGCGACCATGACTTCTTCGTCTACTGAATCAGTAAGCCAGCCTAAATCGATGATGGGTTGATCCAAAATCGATGCGCTACGAATCGTTACACTACCTCGCGAGGATGGTGTAAGAAGTGTGCCGCTGATCGCGCCGATTGTGGGGAAGTCCGTATCCCCGCTAGGGAAGCCAGACGCGATATATTCTATCTCCGGCCAGTCAGACGGAAATCCTGATAGAGCTGCCTCCGTTCGAGACGAGAAGTTCGCACGATAGTTCAGCGGTAACTTCTCAAAGGAGAGATAACCACCAGCTGAGCTGTATGGACCCGAGGCATTTGTTGAATACTGCTGGAGAGCTATTGCCTGTTGGGTGGCCGTACTGAGGTATGCTCCGGTGCTTGGGACGGTGATACTGCGAAGCACATTGAAGAAGATCTGATCCGAAAGATTCTGACCCACGCCGGGGATATCGGCTACGACCGGTATAGCGTGTTCTGAGAGAGTTGCTGCAGGCCCAACACCTTCACCAATTAGCACATAAATAATCGAAAGATCATGGAGTATTTCTCACCAGATATCATAAGAAGCTGTGGAGAGTGAAACACACCAGCCGAAAGAATTACTTCTTTCCTTGCCGATATCATGTATTCATCTCCTTCTGATAGCACTGCTACACCGATGGCGTTCTTGTCCTTGTCGAATATCACTCTGCTGGCTTGGGAATGCAGATAAATGGTCAGTTGCAACATGCTTTTACCTTTCTTTTCATCAAGATAGCTGCTTTTAGAAGTACTTCTTGTCGCATGTTTTGGGTCGATGGTCGTGGGCACCCAAGCTCCACCATTCAAGCTACCGCTGCTGAAACCATCAACACTCAGCTTCTGCCCGACTGCTTGCAATGCTCTTACGAGCCAACTCTGGGCTGGATCAACCCAATTAGCCCACGATACTTGGAGAGGGCCTTGGAGAGCGTTATCGAACGCGGAGTGGTTGTATCGCACCGTCGCATTCGGCGCATTACGCTTTGCGAGGTCAGGGGGTGTAACAGTGGCGGACTTCTTGAAGTACTGCAAGACCTTGTCGTATGTGTAACTTTGGTCACCGACCAAATCTGCCCAGCGCTGGTATGAACCAGCAGTTCCCCTATGATAAGCCATTGTGTTGATCGCCGAGCTTCCTCCAAGCGTTTTGCCCTGTGCATAGTGTATGCGACGATTACTAGCGGCGGATTGCGCAGTCGATAACAAGTCCCAGTCTATGAGAGATTGGGGAGGATATGCTTCGCTTGTGCCAAGCACAGGCATAATGAGGCCATAGTATGGAACCACCGATTGATTGCCATTGTCTTGCTCATATCGGCCGCCAGCTTCCAGAACGGCTACTGATGCAAATTCGGACAGGCGAGAAGCTATCGCCAGGCCAGCTGTACCACCACCGACAACTACAAGATTGTGCTCTGTTAGGTAGTGATCTTTGAGCGATATAATGAGAATTCGTAGACTGGAATTAGCATACCAACATAATCATAAGTAGCATTTGCTGAAAAACCTTCGAATATCTCCCGCTTCTGCGCAGATGTTCCAATGACGAGGCTATACAACGCTACCCTTATGAACTGCAGACGCTTCGCCATAGCTACTTCATACAAGACGAGAAAGAAGTAAACACAGCAAGGCAAGGCGAGACGGAGATTGAAGGGGAAAGTACGGTCAGCGCCCACCAACACGGGCCGATTGCGATGCTGGGGAGAACGTACCCCACCGACGGCACGTAAGATCCATAACAAACAAACACGAGCTACCTAGCCCCATCAAAGGGCCATTGAGACCTCGATATTTCAGACTGGTGCTGTAGTTGGTTTGTATGGCGCAAGCTCCTGAGGATGATCGACAAGAACCGTGAACGGACTGTGATTCTGTAGGAGCGCATTTGCCGCAATCAATTTCTGTCCGCAAGTCACAGAATTCGTAAACGGAGTGGAATAGAAGGAGTTAGGACAAGGTAGGGGTTGGGTGTTAGTCACTGCAGGTAGATACAACCGATTGGCCAATGGAAGAATGGCCGGTTGGGATCTAGAAGTAGCTTGTTGCGCACCTTGAAATGACCTTGACAGCCTGTTATTTCCGCCTCTTTTACGATTTTAGTCGCGCTCTGTTTCTCAAGATCTGGTTTACCATCGATGACGTGATCCTGCCTTATCCTGCAGACTCAAATGTCACCGAGAGGGCTTTCCTTTACAGTCGCTTTGCTGGTACATTGCGTGAGATCTGGCACACTTCAGGACTATTTCTGCCTTCAGCTCATCGCATCAGTTCTGGCTCGCACTTTTTGGAAACCAAATGGCTTATTTTGAAGGCATGCAGTTGATCGTCGCGGATGTGTAGATAGGGATGCACACGGATTTACTCGGATGGCGAGTGCGAAAGGTCATAGTACGAGTACAATTGGTGATGGTAAGAAGCCGTTGGCACTGTGCAGTACACGATGTTTGGAAGACCGCGGACTGTGGTAGGGTTACCTCCAATCTAAGGTCCTTGGCAATGGAAGCGGGGCACATCTGGAGATCACCACCGAAAGTTGGTCGTCGCGCAAAGCTTGGCTCACAGAACAATAATCCGGAGCCATCCTTACGTGTTTATGTAGATATCCCAGGTTTTGACTCAAGAACGAAAGATTAGAACATATGCTTAGTAGAAGTTTTGCTTTCGTCCTATACATCCTTGTTCACGTTGCGCCGCTCGAGAAGAGGTATATGCGGCGTTTAGGTCTAACTGCTGCCTGACGGGCTGTGTGTTGAGACGGTAAGATGCTATCGCGTGCGCTGACATGCAGCTATGCGATGCCACTCGGCTTCTACGCGCTTCACTCGTCCGTAGCGGTGTTCGTGCATGTATGTCACATGTATATGGCGTCGCTGAGGAAGAAGTCCTGGGGTTTCCGGGCGATTCGTCCGCTCGTTGCAGCTCCGCCTTGTTGGCATACGCCCTGCATCAACATCTTCATCATATGGGCAATGCTTCTACGGCTACGGCCGTACATAGGACATAGGACATAGGACAAACTACGTGCCGTGTCTAACTTTATAGCATTTAAGACTCACATTCTCCGTCAACACAGTCTTTCATTCAACATCTTCTCGAACATGACGTTCCACCCTAACTCCCTCTCAGATCTCAAAGGCAAAGTCTTCATCGTGACAGGAGGAAACTCAGGCATGTAAGTCTCCCGCGTGGATGTCGCAACAATCGCGTTTGTCTAATTCGCTCAAAACAGTGGCTACTACACCGTCGCACATCTGGCAGAACATGGCGCGCATGTGTACATGTGTGCTCGGAACTCGAAAAAGGGTACAGAAGCCATAACCGAGATCAAGAAGATGCATCCCGCAGCTCAAATCGACCTTCTACAAATGGACCTAAAGGATCTCAAGAGCGTTGTTGCGGCAGCGCAGCGCTTTCTCACACTCGAGACAGCGCTGCACGGTCTTGTCAACAATGCAGGCATCATGGCAACACCATTCGAGCTCACAAAAGACGGCTACGAGGCGCAATGGCAGACAAACTATCTGGCGCACTGGGTGTTCACACACCACCTCAAGCAGATGATGTTGGATACCTCCAAGACTCTGCCGCCCGGAAGCGTGCGTATCGTCAACATCACCTCATCGGGACACTTGAGCGCCCCAAATGGTGGCATCAACTTCGAGGACCTGGCACTGAAGGATGCTACTCCGATGATCCGTTATGGGCAAAGCAAGCTCGCCAATGTCCTGCACACTAAGTACCTGCACAAGGCGTACGGTCCAGATTCCCCTAGCGCCCGCAACAACGATGGTGAAATCTGGACGTCTTGTGTACACCCAGGCCTGGTAGAAACAAATCTCGCAGACGGAGTCGATAAGGCAGGCTTTATCATGACTAGTTTTATATCCGTCTTACGGATGACTGGCATGTTTTGGTCGGCAGACAAGGGCTCGTACAACAGCTTGTTCTGCGCTGCAAGTGAGGACATGAAAGCGGATCAGAGTGGTGCGTATATAGACATCTTTAACCGCTTTGGCGAACCATGGTGGGAGAGTGGTCCAGCAAAGGACGCCGAACTTGCCGATAAATTGGAACAGCATACTCAACAGATGATGGAAGCGAACAAAGGACTCTGAACTAATATATCTGGACTGCTTTCACCTCATGTATTTCTTTAGTTGTTTAGTTAATTTCGGAACATATAAGACACTGCCAAACTTTGAGGTACCGCTTGGATGTGGCAATCAGAATCAAAGTAAAGTAGATCAAGCAAACCAAGCCATGAGCTCAGATACAAAACAGCCGTAGTACGATCCCAGACACTCAACCCCTTCACAACATCTCCACAAGCGGTATAAGAGGGTGCCGCCATCAAAACCAACCAAAACGAAGTATAGATGAACGGTAATACAGCTTTACGATGTGTCGCTCCTTCGCCTTACCTTCAATGGTCTAGCTCCTGTGTTGTCCTCATAACCCCGTCCTTCAACATATTCATCACTCTCATACACATGTTTTCGCTTCTTGCTCTCTTTTTGATGCACTGCTTTGTAGTGCTCATTTCGTTTGTCCTTCCTCCCTTTGAAACCTCGTCCCTTCTTGCCCCCTTCTGGATTTCTTGAGCGTGGACACCCAGGCTCTTGACAAAAGTATTCGACACAACGACCTGCATGCGTGTTGTCATAGTGACGTTTGAAGTCAGCATGTCGGTTGAATGTCATGTCTTCCCCATTATTGAGACAGGTTTCCTTAAGACACTTGAACTTCCCTGCCAGAGTTACTTGGCCGATAATTGGATCCGTTCTATTAGATGGCGGGTCAGATTTATGGCGCCGACGTCGATTAGCATGTGGCGGGCTGGTAGGCGAAGATAGTGTCGGAGAACGTGAGCTTTGAGGTGAGGGACTGTCTCTGACGACGTGCTGAGGTGATATCATACGACTAAGCATGATGAGTTCATGGATAAATCTTCAGTCTTCTGGTCTAACTTACAGTTGGTTCTGATATGGGACGTGTGTACCAAATGGTTCTTGTGGAGCACGGGAACTAGACCCAAATGTGGACAAAAGGTTCGAGCTTCTGAGGCATAGACGTTAGAATGAACTCTGATGGAACTATGAACCAATGACCAAGAAAGCAGGATATCCTTGGCGGTAGGAACAATAGACAAAGACAGTCTAATTGGGTGGCGTATGGATCCACTATGTGTATTGACCATGGAGGCGATTGACAATTGTTTCAGATACACCCGGCTTGTATCAACGTCAATGGAGGATGGACCAGATGTTTTGTCAAGAGTATCGCGTCTTGTGACTAAGTGATAATAGTAAGACAGCTGAAGTTGGTGGCTGGCTGGCGGGTCATCATCTCATGATTGGTCAGCCACACCTCGTGCCGGCCAAGGGTTTGGATAGAGACTTCTGATGATCAAGCCTTCCATTAAATTTTCTGCACTTATTGAGCTTTGCTGTGTACTTGTTTGACAAGAAACTGTGCGTCGGAGCTTTGGGGCGATGAAAAGATGGCAGAAAGAACTAAACAAAAGCTAGACGGACTGTACCTTTAGTAGAATTCAGTCGATGAATTTCTTTGTGCATCATGGTGGCGTGATCCTGTCCAGTTCGGGAGGTGTGAGCATATGGACTTGGGGCAGATGCGTAAGGGAGCGATGTGTAATCTTGCTAGAACTGGGTAGACCCTCTCGCATTACACCTGGGTCTCGAAGAACCGATGTTGGTACCCTGAGTTGGCGACCCTGAAGGTGTATAATATGATCGAAAAACCCGATGATTGTCGTAACCGCTTGCGCAACTAGTCTGACGGCCGAGTATCTGAAATCGTCCATAGTCTGGAGACGAGCGGCTGAAAAGGGCTTCCAAGCAGAGTTTTTGCGTTTGTAGAGGATAATGCTGCTTCTGAACTGATGGAGTAGATTTACCTGACGATCATGCAACGGTCCTTGAGCTTGTTCGATTCACGGGGAGTTCACATAGTCGTTAGACTACCGGAAAAGAACTCTGACATGGTCTAATGCAATTCCGCCGTCGAAGAAAATCGAGAGATAATTATGGCTCGGATTTTAAGCTCCTGGGTTTATGTATAAAGTTCCCATACGTGGATGTATATCCGTATGATGACCATGGCATCCAGACTCCAGGAAGTGGACATCACCAGGGTTCCGATGGATTACAAGAGAATCCTGTGGCTTATTGATCACACGTTGGATAGTTTAAAGAGGACTTACTCGTTGTCGTAACCAATCTGACCAAAAGCTCTATCTTCGTCCTCATCTCCAAGCACACCTTCGCCAGGGGTGGCGCTGACCGTGTAGTCAAACGGACTTATCGCAGTGGTTGAAAACTGATCGTAATTCATATGTGGCGAAAGCTCGGATGACCGCCTTGTGTGGAAGTGGCCGGTCTGAGAGTGAGATTGTAACGGGTAAGGCTGGAGTGTCGTACGCTGGCCCGCTGACGCGCTCGAGATGGAGCGAGACATTTCCGACCCATTTGTGACCAAAGTGCTACCAAATGATCCGCGTGACGATCGCTGTAGGCTGTGATGGTGTGGCTGCTGACCGGAAGATGTGGAAGAATATTGAGATGCAGAGCGAGACATTCCGTTATTGACCGGATGCTGTGGATAGATATTGGGGCTGTGTAGATTTTGGCGTAGGTTTGCGTAAGGCTGAGCCTCAGCCTGGTGCTGCGAGACCGAATGCCGTGGGGTGTTTAGCGATGAGCATGAGAAGAATGAATCATGCCGTTGATGTATCGCGGGCGAAAGCATCTGCTGGCTATCTTGTCGTTGCAAGGACAATTCAGCAGCGTTCGGATCGCTGAGGTCGATGTAGACTCCTTGACCGTTCATCAGGTCGCGCAGGTTTTCTGCCCCGCTGAAGTATGTGTTGTTGGCCATGTGGATTCGACCTGCAACTATGATAAGTCGATGAGATGACACTAAAGGCTAGTGCACGGTTTGGAGGATAGTAGTCGCAGGTACTGTGCTGGGCTTGAATGGAAGAGCGCGAAAGCTTCATGGAGATTTGGGAGACCAAGCGGCCATATAGAAAGATGAAGCTTGCTAGGGCGAGCGCCCTGTCCATTTTCCTTTTTGAAGGACCTCTGCAGCAGACTTGCATAACATTAGCTTCGATGTGGCTGTCCGCGCTGAGGCATACCGGGACTTTTAGGCAAACAAGGCAGCGCGGCTTACGCATGTGTTGTCGTTGGGAGGGCTGCATTCGGAGCGCGACGATAACCAATAGCCACCGTGTTATAGCATGTCATAATCTCCGCAATATACGAGACTTATCTGCGAAGTGAGGTTCTTGAGCTTAGGAAGTTGCAACCGTTCACAGTGAAGGCTGTGCGTGGCAATCTTTCCCCAGTCGAAGGCATAACAAATGAGACAAGGAGTATCCGGTCAGACGAAGACAAGCTGATCTTGAGTGAGATAGTAAAGATGCCACATTGTTGACGTTGTGCATGTATCGTGACGCAGGTCCGGCATGGGTCGTGATTTGGTGAGGCATACCTAGAGAAGTGAGAGAGCCGCATCATCACATGCAAGCAGAAAACGGCAGGAGCATCCGACATGCGCCTCCATGCGCCTCCGTTCGCCTCACCTTTTCTCGACGTCCATCAAAAGCTAGCCATTACACTCTAATCCGGTCTCGCCATCGGCTTTCAGTTTAGTTTTCACGATTCACCATCCAGACCATGATCGATCATTGCATTTCTTTTGCTCAACTTCTCACCACGTTGGTGGCGTTTCACGCCTTCACACTCCAGACCTTGATACTAGCATCACCGCCCGCCGAAATCACCTTGTTCGCCTTTTCCCACCCAACACCGTTGACCCCATCTTTGTGCGCATTGAGAGCCTTGATACGCTTGCCAGGGTCTTCAGTGCTCCAGACCATGACATTCGTATCCAGACTACCACTTGCGGCATAGTTCTCACTCTCATCCCAGGCCAGACAAGTGATGCGAGCGGTATGTGCACTCCATCTGTCTGTAATGATCTTCCAGTCTGCGTCTGCCTCGTATGCGTAGATCTTGCCGTTGCCAGCACCTACTGCTAGTTTCTTTCCTGAAGCGGAAAAGGCAAGTGCAGAGATGGGTGCGGTTGCGCGGCGGAGCACTGTCTCTGTGTCTTTGAGCTCGGTGCCCGAGAGTGTGTATATGTGTACGAGCTTATCGTCTCCGCCAACGGCGACAGTAGAGCCATGCGCCGCGATTGAGGTTGGCGAATACTTGACTGATAACGAGCCAACCTTGTCGCCCTTGGAGTATATTGCTATCGCATCAGCCGATGGGATCAATACAGTGCTCGATGTTGCAGCAACGCCCTTGGGTTGAAACTTGAGATCGTGAGCCTCTCCAGTGAAGATCTTGTCTGGGACTGACATGGAACGCAACGTGTCATCCCAGCCAACACTGTACAGCTCCGCCTCACTCTTACTGTCGGAAGTTGTGATGCCGGCGACGTAGCTGGAGTGTGCTGCGCCTTCGACCTTGTCGGCCAATCCGGTGGTAGTGTCCCATGCTAAGACGCGGCCCTCGTAGCTTCCTGTGGTGAAAGTGGATCCAGCAATGGCTGCTGCTGTGATGTTCTTCGCATGGCCGCGAACAACGCGTGTTGGCTTTGGGTTGCCGTCGACGAGGTAGTTCAAGTTTCCGTCGAGGTCTACACTGACGATCAAACCGTCGCTACGGCCTGTGGGCCATACCACACCGACTTGCTGGTCGGGTATACTAGCGACGCCTTCTTCGCCCATCCTCCAGGTCTGAATGTTCTTGCCTGCTTCAGGGTCCCATATACGGACAGTTTGATCCGCGCTGGCTGTAACAAACTTGCTCGAGTCCTTGGACCATGAGATGCCGAAGATGCTGCCAGTGTGTATTCCTTCGCCAATTTGTCCCTTGGCCTCTCCAGTCTTGCCATCGTATAGCCATATGCGCTTGTCAGCGCCAACACTGGCGAAGACAGAGCCGTCAGGTGAGAAGGCGGTGCCAAAGACGAAGCGGTTGTGCTGCCCTCTGAGACTGGTGTTGAACTTGAAAGGAGCGCCATGGTAGAAGACCAGGCTGGTGTCGTCGGAGCCTGTGGCGGCGCGAAGCGGTCGTTGCTGGCGGATGGAGACGCAGTTGATCTGTGAAGAGTGTCCCGAGATCTCACCCACGCTGTTGCCGCTGTCTGCTGTGATGCAGTGTCCAAAACGCTCTTTGCCATCGCCGACTGCTATGATACGCTGCGAGTCACCGTCCCATGCCAAGTCATTGATGCGGCCAGCGATGATGTGGTAGTCACCTGCATGGTCATCAGTTTTCACCCTTGATCAACCGCTTTTGTCCGCCCACCTTTTGTAGCTCCTTCACCTGCACAGTCCCACACCTTCACAGTACCCGATACATCTCCACTGGCAACGTAGAAGCCCGAGGGGGAGAAACGGGCGACAGTCGTCTGTGTTGTGTGTTGCGTGTATTGTTTACTAACAGCCGGATCGTCGATGGAGCGGAGGAAGACGGATTTGCCCGACTACAATGGTTCAATTAACTCGAGAACAGCTGCCTTTTGTGGACAGACTCACGGCATAGGCGATACGTTCGCCCTTGGGGTCTGAGGACAGAGGTGTTGCTTGTCCACGCGTCGTGGAAGGGGACGCTGCCCAGATGGCCTCTATTTACGCTTAGTTGCTGCTACAGGAAGCCATTCTGGAGCTCATACCGGATACTAGAGACATAATGCGCGCAAAAGAAAAGGGTCAGTAGGCAGAAAAGGGTATGGGTGATGCACAATGGAGGTGGTGCCTGCCTGGTAGCTTTGGCGGTGGCCTCTGCTTCGTCACCGCCTACGTTTCAGCGACAAGCCACGAGTCGCGGGGCATGTGGGGGTGGCTCTACCATGACAGCTCAATCCTAGGGTAACTACTTCGCAGCTTTCAATGTTATGAAGACTCGGTCCCACGCATCACCAAATGTGAATCTTCTGGGTATCGTCTTCTTCTTTACATGCTTCTGATCAAAGTTGCCTGTCGTCATCAGAGCTAGGTTCAAAGGAGGGTGCTGCTGGGGCTGCATCACTAGCCCGGAGTCTGTAACAAGAGGACCCCAGGATCATATGCATAGGTCTGGACTTCACCGCCGTCTGCATATAGACATCTGGTGGTGAAATAACGAGGTTGGTAAATTGAGATACAACCTTGGAACAACCCGGTAGATCTTGGCGCACGTCATTTCCGACGCGTCCCATCTACGTCGTATTAGTTTAGGAATCAATAAATCTACTACTCTGATACTTTGAGTTCCGGTACATCAATTGGTCTTTCTGCACCTGTCCGCCTCTTTCGCTTGTTACTATCGTGTCGTTCGCTATTAAACGTCATCATACCGGGAACCCGGCAGCCGGAAACCACGAGCCTCAACAACTTCGGCGTATCATCAACATCATCATCAAAGAAGAGCAGGAACACCAAACATCATCACCATGTGTATTATGAAGACTTACGAAACACGCGGCCGTGGCGTCGTCGACCCGCCACCACGACGAGGGAACTTTACCTCCCATCCACCAGCTGGCGTTATGCGTCTACCACGCGACTGGCAGCGAACATCTGTCGAGAGCTTCAGCGATAATGGTCGCTACGTCGAGTACAGGTTTGTGATTCACTAGGTTAAAAGCGCCAACGTCTCATGCTCATACCCTCTAGACGATCCCGATCCCGACCCCGTGCAATTGAGTACATCGAAGAGCCTCGTACGCGCGCGAGGAGCCGCGCGAGGAGTGTGTCCCGGCGACGCGTTAGCGATGTTGAGATTGTCAGGCCAGGAAGAACGAGCTATGTTGATCCACGTGGAAGTTACGTGGACGAGAGGGTTACGAGGCGAAGTGTCAGCCGTGTCAGGCATTGATCGTGCTCAACAATCGCACACAAAACTGGGAGTTTACGTATGTGTGATGCATGATTAGAGCGAGTATCTGAATTAAGTGCTGACTCAGTAGTGCGAGGACTAATTTTGTACAAAGGGGATACATTGGAGATTTGGTAATTACGAATGACATGATTTTATGATTCTGAATACAATCCGCCCTTCTGACATATATCCCATCTATCATGCGTAGCGCAAAAGTACCAGAAGCTCTTCTCCGGAGATAAAGGCTAGCTTGCGTCTTAGGGTACCATGATCCCTGTCACTTTGTGGGGCAACGCTCATCAGACTCATACCTCAGCATCACCTTGAATCGTTGCACAAATAGAACGATCCCTCCGTTCTGCAATCAGACAAAGAACTTTGAAGTATCATCTCCGTAATCTTGACCGCTGCCTCAACGCCATGGCATCGCACCCCATGCAACGATGCTGCGTCGTCGGCGTAAAACACGAGGGGAAACCTCAAGGAGTGATCAAGCAAATCGATAATATCCGCACATATTTCGCCTACCCAGGGGATAAAGATCCAGAACAAGCGATAGTTCTCATGACCGACGTCCTCGGCATGGACTTCCCCAACACCCAGCTCATCGCCGACCAATTCGCACAAAACGGCTATCTAACACTCATACCCGACGTTTTCAACGACCATCAAGTGTCCTTTCCCATCGATCCGTCTTTTGACCTGCAAGAGTATGTTGACACCACGATGCCAAAACCGGAAACTGTTGATCCGATGTATGAGCGCGTAATCGAATATTTGAGGAATGAGTTGAGAATCAAGAGGTTAGGAGGCGTGGGATATTGCTTTGGGGGCAAATATGTGTGTAGATGGTTGAAGGAAGGGGGCCTAGACGCAGGTTTTATAGCTCATCCGAGTTTCGTCACTTCAGACGAGATCCGCAACATCAAAGGACCGCTAAGCATCGCTGCTGCAGGTACGTTTTATCCTCGAAACAAATCTCGCCATTACTAAAAGAGAAGAAAAAGAAGAAGAATAAGAACGACGCGTGCTAACATTGACCCCAGAAACCGATGACATCTTCCCCGCTTCAAAACGCCGCGAGACAGAAGACATTCTCAAAGAACATACCGTCCCATACCAGCTGTTTCTCTACTCGGATGTCGAGCACGGATTTGCGACAAAGGGCGATTTGTCGCATGAAAAGGCGAGATTTGCAAAAGAACAAGCGTTTCTGCAGGCGGTGTACTGGTTAGGCGAGTACGTAAAGAAGAGGCCAGGAGTGTAAACGATAAGTCAGAGTTGTATAGAAGCAACGAGGCGATCGAGACCAGGAAAGGCGTTAGAGGTATTAGGGATAGTGTCCACGATAATAGCATCGCTAGAAGATGTGTGATAAATAGGATGATCGATGGAATTGCCGACAATGCGAAGTTCCAGAGATTCATCTGCCCCCTTCTCTTCTAGCACCATGTCTCTCTGTGTGCGAGAGATGGCATGCTCCAGGCCCTTATCAGTCTTGCCACATGGCCACATCTGCATATCGTCCTCGCTCAATGAGAACATACGTTCCGGATATGCAGTCTCGTACGTCTTGGACAAGGGGGATGCCATCAATACAGCATCCGTATGGGCGCCCAAGTGATCATCGCGCGGTCGAAGGCAGTCAATTACCGTATCGATAGTAGTCAGCGCCGCCCCAATCGCCCAGACACAGAAGCTGATGGCGAAGTATACGACGAGAAACAAAGCCACAAGGAGACAGCCCCAAAGATATCCCGTGAGAAGACTATCTAGTATCTCATTGGCTGGCGGAGAGGTTGACAGTGGTATGTAGTCTCCGGTTCGATCGATCTGTGGTCGGAGCATGATGGCTTGGTAGGGGAAGAGAGGCGGCATGTTTGGTTGGTATGGCGGTAGAATAGGTCCGAGTAAAGTTCCGATCGGTTGTCGAGGACAGTGTACTAGCAGTATTGATACTTGTGCTAAAAAATAGTCGTTGCACCACTTTGGTCAGAGTCTGCAAACGTTGCAAGAGGACGACGAGACGATTTGCAGATTACATCCGCGTTTGACACACTGGAAGTCGCGCCTAACGATCACTGAGAGGGCGCCACTCATCTCCAGGGGGATGTGTAGGCTCATCACTCTTTCTTACCATGTTCAACACCAGCTCTTCCTTCTTCCCCACTCTTTCGTTGCTCCTTCTTAATCTTCCCAATCCACGGCGGCTCCCCATCCTCATCAAACTCTGCCCATTGGAAAAATCCCCAGCTCTCTCTTCCCGGTACATACCCTGCATGACACATCCACATGTACCTGCCTCTACTCTCCTTCTTCCTCGTCGCGCACCTCAACACAGTCGGAACATCACACTTGCATTTTGGTGTATACCTCGGATGTAAACTATCCTTGTAAAAGCGATACGTGATATTCAGCCGTTTATTCTTTGCAAGTGGGTGAGGATCGATAGCTTGAGCCGGAGCTATCGAGTGTTTCCATTCCTCCTGCATCTCGGCGTGCATGACCAGGAGCGAATTGTGCGGCAGGTGGATGCTAATCTGGCCCTGCGCATCGGCCAGTGAGCCGTCTTGTTTGCGGTGCACAGAGTCGTCTTCGGCGAGGATCTTACGAACGCGGAATTCGCGCGCTACTCCCAGGCTTAGACTGCCAATAATGGCCCTTGGGCCAAGGTAGGTCAATTGATCCGCGTGGTAGCCGACGCTTTCTTGTGGTCCATCGTAGCAGTTCACAAAAGCTGTGTTGGCTTTCCATGGGTGAGGGGATTGGTATTTGAGTTTCTTGCCGGAGGGGTAGAAGTCGCGGATCCTGCGTTGGATTTCGCGGTTGACGGCCTCTTCAACCTGGGGACATGCGTTTAGCATTTCTGATGTACTTTGCCGGACATCCTGGGCGATGTTAACATTATGATGCTGACTCTTCTGGGCTTTCTCACCTCGAGCTCGCCACCGTTGTAAATGTACTCCGTCTTCTGTTTTTCTGCCTCTTCTAGGCTGTTGACGTAAAAAGAATACGTGTGCGGGCTCAGAACGACTCTTTCGAACAGCTTGAACTTATACCTGTTATACGAGGACGCTTCTTCCAACAATTGAGACAGCAATGCTTCCGCTTGTTTTGCCGGGAGGAAGTTATGGATGATGGAGCAAGGCGTGTGTGCTTCAACATCGTCTGGGCTGTATAAAAACAGTGTCTTCCCTTTCTTCACCAGTGGCTTTTTGGTGGATGTCCCGTTGGCCGGAGTAATGCGATACGAGCTCAACGATGATTGATAGCCAACTGTAGATGATGCAGGCCGCTTCCTCGGCTGCGATAACGACTCCGAGGCTTGTTCTACATGTCCATCAGCGGCGAGCAATGCTTCAAGCAGGGTGCCTTCGTCGAGTTTGGGGTGTAGAGATGCCAGTAGAGCCAGCTTGAAGTCGGTAGAGTCTTCTTCTTGCTGCACGCTTATATTCTCTACCGACTTTGGTGATTGTTCAGCCCACTTCCTCTTTCGCGACACGAACGCGTACATGTCGATTGCAGTTGATCACGATGTCACTCATAGTGTCGTGATAATTCGCTAACGCATACGGAGCTCCTGATGGTGGCGACCGTTACAGCCAGACGCGTTGTCACGGGACAGCCCGAGTCCCGATGCAGCCCCGCCATATCCAAAGCGCCAGGCCTCGGTCTCATCCACATCGTCATCTGCAACCATGCAGCAGCACAACACCAGCATTTCATCCCAGCGCGACATGACGCGCCGATCCCTACATATACTTCACGCGCCATAGTCTGCTACCATTACCCTCTTGGATTCTTCGTCATGCTCGAGTTTCGAACACAGGGCTTCAACGGCTACTCGGTCAAATACAGCCCATTCTTTGATTCCCGCATCGCAGTCGCAACCTCTGCCAACTTCGGGCTCGTCGGAAATGGACGACTGTACATACTAGGTCTTACAGCAAATGGCATAGTAGCCGAGAAGTGGTGAGTGGGACTCTTAGCACCCAGCTACTTTTCCCACGTCTTTCATATGCTAACATTCCCAACCTCAGGTTCGACACCCAAGATTCCCTCTTCGACAGCACCTGGTCCGAATCCCACGAGAACCAGCTCCTGACCGCCTGCGGCGACGGCTCCGTAAAACTCTTCGACATCAATGTGCCCACGTACCCCATCGCCTCATGGCAAGAGCACGCCCGCGAAGTCTTCGCCGTGCACTGGAACCTCGTGGCCAAAGACACATTCCTCTCCTCCTCCTGGGACGGCTGCATCAAGATCTGGAACCCCAACTCAGACGCGAGTATCACGACCCTACCAACACATTCCTGCACCTACTCCGCATCTTTCAGCCCGCACAACGCCAGTGTGTTGAGTAGTGTGTCGTCAGACAGCCATCTCCGTGTCTTCGATTTGCGCACACCAGCGAGTGCGTCCAACCACCTAACCATGAACGTCCCGATACATCAACCGCCCAAGGCGCGCATGGGCCAAGCAGCCAGTATTGGAATTGCGCCCGCAGAGGCCTTGACACACGACTGGAATAAATACCGCGATACCATTGTTGCAACAGCCGGCGTGGACCGCGTGATACGTACTTTTGATATTAGAATGCCGCAGGCTGGACCCGTTGCTGTTCTTCCAGGGCACGAATATGCGGTAAGGAAGTTGAGCTGGAGCCCGCATTTATCTGATATTCTACTATCTGCGAGCTACGATATGACGTGTCGGGTGTGGACGGATGGCAGTGCCATGGGCGTAGGGTCTGTGAAGCAGGAGAATATGCTGGAGGACCCGATGTTTTATGGCGGAGGAAGGGAGATGGGGAGGATGGGGAGGCATACAGAGTTTGTGACGGGTGTGGATTGGTGTCTGTTCGGGGCGGAAGGGTGGTGTGCCAGCACGGGATGGGATGAAAGGGTCCTGGTGTGGGATGCGAGGGCTGTTATGCAATGAGACGACCAAAACCCTATGCACAACATGAAAGAGGTTTGTGAGATATAGACTGTTCTTCATTCAACTACGTAGGCGAAACAATAATACTCGGCGATATACACACTGCGAGCTATGCTACCGAAAACAAAGATCCCCAATAAGAAACAAATAAATAGGGTATCGTCCCATGATCGCGCCTTTATCAACCCCTCAACACCGTTGCCATGCAGGAAAATAACCCCAAACAACCTCGAAACGCCCACCAATGCTCAAGCGGTGCAAGCAATCTCTCCTCCTCAACAAGTCTAGTAACGCCTCCATGCATCACCCACGTCCCTCTACAAATACTTTGTCCTTCATCTTCTCCACCTTCTTTCCGTGACCGTACCTCTGAGCCATGCTAAAGATCTCCAAGGTTCAAAACATCATCGAGCGCATCGTCCATCTCGGCCATGTCCTGCACACTACCACCTTGCCAATGCATACCCACTTCGTCGTCAATCTGCATGGGGTCCCCGAAATCGATCGTCCACGTCTCACCATTGAGATCAAGTTTCCCTGCATTGCCGATGCCATTGATGCCATTTGCGGTGCCGGTCCCATTGATACCAACGCCATTCGTTAGCACGGGTTTCCGGGGCGGATCGTAAATGTCCTCGATGCCTTCGGTGTCGAGGAAGCGCGAGTTCATAACTGAACCTGCGATGAAGGGTGTTTGTCCTAGATACGAGTCTCCCAGTGCAAGCGCTAGACGCAAGTCTTCCATGCATAATAACTTTCTCTTCCGTCGCTCTTCGGCTTCGACGGGTAGCTCGCCTGCCGTGCCCCTTGCCAATTCGCCCCGTTCGACGAGGCGTTCTTCTCTCGCGAGCTTCTTCTTGAATTCGCCCGTTCGGACGTACCCGGGACCGTTGTTGGCGACCTTTCCGAGTAAATTTGCTAGCGCTTCTTTGATGTAGGTTTCCGTTGCGATGTTAAGGTAGTCAGGACAATCAGATGTGTGACCCTGAGGCAGACCAAACTCGTAGCATATAGGTAAGAGCCGGTAGGATATGGTTGTTGCCGTAGGGAATTCGTGGGTTTCGACAGACAGGGCCGAAGTGTAGCGTTTGCGAATTTCGAGTTCCCAGTCTATTCGTCATGTTAGTTTGCCTCACTCTCTGCTGTGAAGAGAATAGAAATGAAGGTATATGCGTACTTGTCTTTCCAAACCCACCCCCCTGATTACTGCTTGGACCAACATCCAACTGCTTCGCCCGTCTCGCATCAACGTACTCCTGCGCCGGCCCATTGGCGCCGCTGCCCGCGCCCTCCAACCCTGTACTCAGCGGGCTTTCCCCAGCCGGTATGCCCTTGAGCCTCTTTCTTTCCCTGCGGCTCAACTGCATGACCTCATGCTTGAGCCTCTTCTCGCTCTCATCCCCTGTCCCCTTGACCGTCCCGCTTGTCGGCTTATCACTACTCGACACCCAGCTCGCGATGCCTGCTTCGGGCGGATCGCGCCATATGTTGGCGTAGATGGCTGTGAAGAGGGCATTGTGAGCGTGTTCGAGGGCGGGCGTGGTCAGGATCTTGCCGAGCTTGTGGGACAGCTCTTCTTGATTGAGGTTGCCGAGGAGGAAAAAGGAGAGGGTCTTCTTGTACGTGGTCCAGTCGACATCGCTTATCGAGCCCTTGACTGCCGAGTATAGGGGCTCGACGTCTATGCGGGGGGCGCGCGGCGCGTTGGCCTTCTTGGTGAGGTCGGTGTTGAGGGATGTGAGGTTGGGCAGGGTACCCGAGGAAAGTGTCGGCGTGGTCGAGACATTCATGTCGTTGGGCCGTATCGTGCCTGCCATGATGGCCGTGGATGCGCGCCGTCGTGGCGCTCAATGCGTGGGAATGGTTGCGCGTTGCGAGATGGTCGCGCAGCTGGACGGGTGCGCGTGCGGATTGCGGAGACGGCCACAAGCGGCGGG